AGCTCGAGTCCGCCGGCTTCCCAGCACACTTCATCATGGACACCGGCCGCAACGCCGTCCAGGGCCTGCGCGAGGAGTGGGGCAACTGGTGCAACATCAAGGGAACCGGATTCGGCGTCCGCCCAACCACCAGCACCGGCGACAGTCTCTTCGATGCCTTCGTCTGGATCAAGCCCGGTGGAGAGTCTGACGGAACCTCCGACTCCAGCGCCGACAGATACGATGCCAACTGCGGAAAGTCTGACTGTAAGTTCTATCCTTCTCCATCCCTCTTTTGTGGGGGTTGTGCTGACGACCCCGACAGCCGACAAGCCCGCCCCACAGGCCGGTCAGTGGTTCCAGTCCTACTTCGAGACCTTGGTCAAGAACGCCAAGCCATCTTTGTAAATGCGAGAGTTGGCGAGGGCGATGATGAAAAAGGGGGATGATTGTACGATGTGGTAATAGCTGGGCTGGAACTGTGAGGGAATTGTATTAGTATCAGGAACTTGTGCGCATGGGAATGTGCGCGTGGTGGATTGTATACATAGAAGAATTTACGGATGCTTTTGTCAACTTGCGTGCCATCTGACTTTTGATTTCATTTGAATTTCCGTGTAGCCAATGCCGATAGCGACGGTATAAGTCCAGCTAATGAGGCTGACTTTGTTGCTTGAGTGGGCGTTGGGTACGAAGCTTTTTGCTATGAGTTCGTCCTCGGCCCTGAGGTGCAGATCACGGTATCGATAAGCAGACAAGGACTTGAACTAAGGTGAGGCAATGACGAGGACGTGGAGTTAGAGTTTGAAGCTTGTCTCCGAGGCGAGCTTGTCGGGGAGGAGGCTAAGGTTACGGGGTTGCGGGAAACCAGACTAGGGTGATGGAAGGAGGTGAATATGACGAACCAGAGGTCTCCATTCCCACGGGTTGCTATGCCAAGACCGAAAGTTCAGGGTAACGGGTTACAATTAGAAACGCCAGAATAGAAGACAATTACCAGGTTAGAAGTGCTTAGTCTCGTGCCCAGCGCAAGAGACTAGCCCAGCCCCGCTAAGCCCCTCGTGAAATGAATGGATGTATGTACTTGTACTCTAGGTCTAAGGTAACTGGATTAGTCTCATGATAGGTCGGGAATGACCATATTCAAGTACCTAGGGGCTCGTTATACACTGGGAAAAATACTTTAACAAGGGGCTAAATTTCACATTATACTTCATCATTGTTAATTGGAGGGAACTGGAATCATATCAAACCAGTAGGAAAATTGTAAACCAGAAGAAAAATTGTAAACTAGTAGGAAAATTGTCATAAAGAAGAAGTATAATGTATTTAATTATGGCATAAGCTCGACTATGTATATACATATTTAAACAGGAATATTATTATAGACAAAAATAGTGTAGAGCGCAGCTGCAGGAAGGTAGATACAATAAATCGCGGCTACTCCAAGAGGTAAGAGGCCAGATGGCATCCTTTTACCAGACATTTTTCGCTTGGAAGGATTGCGTGCCAGTGTGGAACCCGCCCTCTATGCAGCGCCAAGGAGAGAGTGGCTGCCAGGTTGTTGAGATATCCCTGGGCAGTCTCGAACCAGACGTGTATACCGGGCGGGTACGGGCTGTGATGCCTGGGACTTGCTTTGCAAGATGGCAGATGACCCGCAGAAACCATTGTTCATTGGAGTTGTTTAGGAACAGGCCGAGGCATTTCTGGTAATACAGAATGCAAGACCGGACTTTATTATTCAAATTGGTGCCGCGAAAGACGTTGTAAACGCTGATGTTGGTGTTTAAGGTGGATGAGGACGCGGGACAATGGGTAGACTTCTGGGAGGCCAACCGCTTGGCACTTCAGACTGTGTGCGTCACGGGCGAACAGGTGTGGCATTCGAATCCCCAATTCTGAGGCTATAGCCTGATCTGGAAACACCGAACAGCTTCATTACCCAGCAGGCGTGCAGCCAGACGCACTTCTGGCCAGCGACTACTGCTGGCCGGTGCCAGGTTTCAGGATGCCCCACTCCCAGGCGCACGCAATTAAATAAACCCCGCCCCGCCTCCAGACGAAGAAACGAGAAACGTTCCGCCGCACCACGGAGGTCGACTTTTGGCCCCACAAGCGACCCGCCGGCCCCCGTGCAAGTGTCCACCCGATCCGCCGCACTTCCCAGCCGCCTTTGCCGTAAATGCTTGGGTGAGGGAGACAAAAGTCGAATCTGCAGGGTGAGCCTGTGCGTCTCAACATTATGAGGAGGTCGGAACTGGGCGGGAACACGGGGTCGGGAAGGTGGCTTTGGTTATGGTGCTGTTGTTGTTGCGGGTGGAAGTGGCTGTCATTAAACCACTCGTAGCGGAGGGGTCCATTGGTTCGAGACTGGGGTCCATTAACCGGTTGGGGGAATGATGGCGGCAGGTATCGCTGCAGTATGTGCGTTTGTTGATGGTGGTGTTGTTATTGTTGTTCTAGTTGTTGTGAACCATGCCAATTGATCATTGGTAACTTCTGTCTATGACTTTCCCTAGTCTCGTGCCACGTTCCCCAGCCTCGATCCAGATGCTTTAGGACTTTCCCATTGTCTCCCTGCCGCGGTGGTGGTGGTGTATACCCGTATGCATCCTTGAGAAGAGGCTAGAGGATACATTTTGCTCGATGTCCAGGCTATGCTCGATGATCAGATGGAAGGAAGAGTTGGTTTGTGGAGGAGAGGCGAGGCTAGCGGGATTGAATTGTCATTTGAACATGGAGATTGAAGATGGCCTGTGGCGGCGCTGGCTCCAGGCCTTTGTGGCGTCTTGGTACCCAGACTTGAGGTTCGGCTCTCCATCGGGCAAGTTCATGAGAAGTGAAGGCAGTCTCAAAGGTGAAGGGCGGGCAGTCTCGAAAGGAGGGACCCGGGGGCTCAAGGTATTTAAAAAGACAGTCGGGCTTGGCAGTCTCAAACCTTAGCACGAGTACAGGCGCACACAGTCTGCTGGTTTTTGCGTACAAGAAACCCAGTCTCGACAAGAAACCTTCTTGTGACAAAATTCCTGTTTTTCTTGCTCATGTACTCATGAGATCAGGTATGTCTATCACAAATGAGTACAGCGCAACGTTAACACAGGTCACGTTTTGGCAGTCTCGCAGTCTCGTTGCAGTTTCAATCTATCCTCGACACCAACCTCGTCGTTCGTCTCGATCCAAGTTTGAGTACGAGAACAATCAAGAGCTGCTCTCATGTCAAGAGCTCTAGAGGCTGCAATTGTTCTCGTGGCTACAATCAGGCCCGGCCGGCCATTAGACAATATTGGGTCGTACCAGGTAACCAAGCTAGGCAACCGTGCTACGTCAACATCCCAGGAGCAAGAGCAATTACAAAACAAAAGCCTCTACGAATGTCTTGGGATGAAAACCAAAAACAAACAAGCCAATCATAGGTAGGTACTGGACTACAACCAACCAGCCATCATGAGCACGAGAACACAGAACACGGCCCGGCCATTGTAGCTTCAAAGCAAGACTGCTTCAAACCTAGCCTCGTGCCCTTCAAACCTACCCTCATCCCTGCCTTCAATTTAAACCCGTCCAAAAACTAACTCCTCAATAAAACCCAACCACCCAAAAAAGCCATCTCAATTCCCCTTCAACCCCCAACCTAAACCCCCAACCACCACCACCACAAAACCCTATACCCCACCGCCGCCAACACCATCCTCCCCATCCACCCCACCCCAAACCACACCGTCAAATGCACAAACACCCCCAGAGACCCCACAATCACAAGCCACGCATCGCTCGACACATCCCCCAGCCGAACCGGTGTCCCCTTCATCTTCATCTTCTTCCCCATCTTCATCTTCTGCCTCCTCTTTGCCTCCTTCCAAAGATCCCTATTGGAGCCGTTGTACGTGCGGTCGTTTGGATCGAAGCTGGCGCTGGCGCTGCCGGGCTCGGGCGTGAGGGGGGCGCGCCAGGCCGGGCGGGTGGTGGGGTTGGGGTTGGGGTTGGTGGGTTGACTGTATGTAGATGAACAAACAGGTTAATTCAAGTTATTCCATCAGTTGGTAAATATTGGGCGAAAAAAAAGAAAAAGGAAACGTGAGTACACAACCTACCTCTTCTTTCGACCCTCACCCTCACCCTCACCCTCACCAGGACCCTCTTCCCTACTAGCTCTCCCACCCATCGATGTCCCGCTGAATTCAGATAAATAGTAGGTAGGTACGTCGGTATACACAATCAAACGCCTTAAACGATATCACCTACTTTTGTTAAACTTGATAAACACTAACTTACTTGATTGCGAGAGGCGCGACTCCCCGCGCGCTGGCCTCCTCTTCAGATTCGGGACGACTTCGAAATTAAAGATTGAAGATTGAGCGCTGGAGGAATGGGCCTGAGGGACTAGACTTCGTTCCGTTTTCTTTCTCAGCCTCGATTCTTTGAGGGCCCTGGGTGGACGCTGTATTTGTTTCGGTTTAGTACTTATAATTATCGCGATCAGATGCCATCTCAATCCCCATAGAAGCGGGCCAGTGGGTTATACGGAGTATTTATACACAAAGAGAGAGGGGGGGGGGGTTGCGCTGCTGCGCATCAGGTATGGTATGAACCAGGTCTTTAAATATTTATGGCCCTACCACTGGCATTCACCTCGCCCGAAAGGAGCAGCACGTTTCAGAATGCATACATAGGTATTTGTTTCTACCTGGCCATGCATGGCAATCGGTAGATCTGAGACTATGAAGAACGAGAACAACCACTAGGTAATTTGTAACTTTAGAAAATCTAGGTCGAAGAAGTAGGTATACACTAGGTAACTGCCTGGGCTCCACCTCCTTGTAAGTGCGGTCAATATCCGCCCTGCCCTGTTCTAGTGCCGCCCTGCTAGCCTTCTCTTCGCACAAAAACATTTTTTCCCCAAATAATATCAAAACCCTATGACAATAATCATGAACACACGCCTAAATGCGGATTCAAATTTAGCAAGCACATTGAAAAAAAAATGTGGGCAAAAAATTAAAATAAGAAAAAAAAAACATCGGTCATGCGAAGACTCGAACTTCGAACCTCCTGATTAACAGTCAGACGCGCTAACCAATTGCGCCACACGACCATGAATTGTTGATTGTGACCATGTGTACACACGCCACATACAAATAAACGGCAATGCTCCCAAGGTATTCTCGTACCCTATTCCTCAGCAAAGACATGCACCCCTTCTAAACCTTTCGGTAAACCTCGAAGGGGAGCCTGGTTTTACGACGCTACGGTAAACCTGTTCTCGTCGGTAAACCCATAACCGAGATCTGTGGCCACTCAAAACTCCCCAACTTACGGACTAAAGAATCAGATATACCATCCATAGCCTTGACGAGATCCAAAGTTAGGTATCTAACCCAGCTCCCTGATAAATAGGCATGCCACAGTCTGAAATGTTTCATATCTAGTCAATAACATAGGTGCCTTTGACGCTTACTTTACGTCGAAATATCCTTCTCCCCTAGGCCTGCCCCGCTTCAGAAAATACACCCTGTTAAACCACAACCCATGACAAAGTGTTTATCAACTTTCCTAGCCTGGTTGTGCATATATAACCCGATGGATACATAGCAATTACAATAAAGCGGGACTTTGGGTATAGGTAGACTGCAGCTGCAAGTGTTTCCTCTCCGTGGTTATATATGGCTGCGGTAGGTGAAGAAGTGATTTAGGAGGTACTTTTTACCTCCATTGAATTCTAGAAACCTAAACGAGGATACCTTGACAGGCACGAATGGCTACCTACATATGAGATGATGCTGTCACTTCGGGCACGAGACTAGGTATGTCACTTCTTGTGCTATGCGATGCCCAATGCAGTCTCCCTAGCTAATTCCATGAACATTAGCCTCGATTCAGGCCATGCACCGTGGAGGAGAACATCTTCTTCTGGATATCCTATAAACTGTGCCAACCCAAGTGCCCTTCCACAGATATATATCGGTAATCTATCGGCCTGGCATGGGGACGAATGGGGTGAGCTGATGTGGAACGAACCTAGAAGAAACACAGCGCCTTTAGCACTCAATTAATTTTCCACTCTAATTCTCACGCTTCCTACCCTACCCATAATATTAAGACGAAGAGAAGGTACCAAGTACTCTACCAATAAGATTTCATAAACAGAGGGGCCAGAATTTATCGATGTGACTCCAGATCCTCTTATATCCTGACTTTTTTCGTCTTGTGCCCCGCCCTATTTCTCAATGCCGTCAAAAGATCAATGCAGGGGGCACGACAATTGCTAATAGGATTAGCTTATGAACCTTTTTCAAACACCCAATAAATAACAGAGTTTGAGTATCTTTCAATTCGCGGCCGAGTGTAATCGGCATGACCATTGAAACCTTAAGACACAATATCTCGATTGTAATTGGGTTATTTGACGAGTAGAGGTTTTCTGACAAATGCCGGGCCAAAATTCAGAATCAGGTACCAAACCACTGTTATTGATCCATAAAAATCCGTTAGACAACTTCAATGGTGGATATTAATCTTCATCACAAAAGGTCCAATATCAATACACCGGGCTTCAAGAGGGTGATATACTCACAAAGTTCCTCACCATTGTGACCAGATATTTCCATCTGCATTTCCCGGCACGAGACTAGCATTTCCCTAGCCACATACCGAAGCATCTTCCCCACTTTTACCTCGAAGGCAGCATTGCACACCATATTAGCTACCCCACCTCCTGTATGAAGCCGATAGAGTTCTCCAGACGCAGGAAAGAAAGCTAATCCCATGTGCAAGGCGGGAAGCATACCGGGAGCGCGCAGAATATGAGCCACATCCACACAATAAGAGATGAGATGAGGGGAAGCGTTTTGCCAATAGTGAGGGGAGGCAAACTTTGTCAAGGAGGGGCAAGTGTAGCTTCATCGTCAGATGCGATTCTCCCTGTGGATGATGCTGGAATTCGGCAGAACTTTCAAGCGGGATCTCTGTGTGAGCCAACGGACGAGGACCCGACAGCCAAGGATGGGCTGAATACCTATACTGTCAACCGTTCATGCCCAAAGAGTTTTTGCAGGCTTTCCCTCGCCCCACAGAGCCACCACTCCGAAGCCCCAATCAGCGCGTTGAACCGTCTCGTAAGGCAGAGGTGCCTCTGGTTGTTCTCGTGGCAAGGTTTCTGGTGTAGTTTGAGAGCAAGCTCGAGCACTGGCTCGGATGTGATTCGAAGTTCGGTTGCCTCATGCTGTTCCCGTGCCTTGTGTTGAAGATGGGGATTCCTGCGAGAACAGGGATTCCTGTCCAAAGCCGTCAGTCTGATCAGATCAGCAAGGTCAAGAGTGAAGGCCAGCCTCCTACCCTGGCTACCAGCCTCCGTGGCTGCAGGTAACCTAATTCATCTTGGTAGAGAACAGTAATAGCCGGCCAACCCAAATCCTGTCATTGCGGTGAATGGTACGAGTCTAGTGAATGGTAGTCTCAGGTGAATGGATGTGGGAGGTGGGCAGCCCGATGACTGAGCCGATTGCGGTGCAAGAGCCAAGTGCCCACCCATCCCCAGGGGTATAAAGCCCCCACCCCCCCACCTTCCTCTCCCTCTTTCTTCCTCTCCTCCACTCCACGCACCACAAGAACCATCCACACGCACCCAAAAGTCCCCACGCTCCACTTGTCCACCTACTCCACAACCACTTCAAACCCAACTCAATCAAGATGTGTCAAGGAAAGAGCAGCTGCGGACACGTATGTTCTCTCGCATCGTTTCCTCTCCGCATCTCTCTCATGCTAACAAACCCTCCTTGACAGAGCTTTGCTGCCGCCCCAGTTGCCGCCCCAGTTGCCCCCGCAGTTGCCCCCGCAGTTGCAGCGGCCAAGGCCGCCGAGGGTGTCAAGGCCGAGGAAGTCGTAGCTGTCGAGGCTGCTGAGGAGAGGTCTGAGGAAGAGCCAGTCGCCGAGGCTGTTGCTGAGGCTGTCTCTGAGACTTCTGAAGAAGTTCCAGCTGCTGAAGCTGTTGCTGAGGTGAGTTTCACGCCAATCCAGCCATCCCCTTCCCAGGCTCGTTTCCCTTCTCACCCACTAACTTCTCGAGAACAGGCATCCGCTGAGGCTTCGGACTAAGTTTCTCCTTGCACTCAACGAAGATGCGGTACGACGAGTGCCAATGACTGCAACTACACTCCTTGATCCACCCCTACATCTCGACCTCACACCGACCACAGACCGGAGTTTGACTTTTGAAAGGCGGACTGGGGGAGATTGTTTGCGTTTCGTTTGCTTCGGGGTTGTTTCTGAGTTATTGCGGCAATGTTCTTCATGTTTCTGAATATACTGTGACATCTTCTCCCACTATGCCTTCCAGATTGTGATGTGACTTGTTCTCGTGTAGTTTCGTCAAGTGTGGTCGTAGCCTACCCAGTCCCCAGTAGCCTCGTCCTCGTCCTGAGCCCTTCGTAGTGGCATCCATGCCCTTTGCAGCCAGAATGATCCGTGGTCTATTTTCGCACCCCGACTTGAGTTGAAAGAGTTGAAAGGCCTTGTCGAAGTCGAGGTAGACATACGAGAACAGGTAGACATGATGTGCCTTTACTTATAGGCCAGGCAGTGGTGGGATTTTCATCCGGCTACAGAGCGTAAATGAGCAGTCTAGAGACGGTAATGAGCACATTGAGGTATCTGCAGCTCTTTTCCCTCATATCATATTGAGGGAGATACATAGCCTCGAGGAGATACAGGCCTCTGGTACATAAGTGGATGGGGTCAAGTCCGGGTACGAGAGCGGGATGGCAGGTTACAGGGGAGATAACGTGGGCAGAGGCATGTAGCTTGTTCATACACAGCTGAGGTTTGGCTGTTCTCATACCCAGGCTCGACGGGTGCCGAGGAGTGGGCTACACATATTTTTCAAAGTCCCTAACGCACAGTCCGTGTTATGATATTGATATTTGAAGCAAGGCGTTTTGGTTCTTGTAGGATTCTCGTTCAAAGCGTTTAGCCGCCTACGCTCGGACACATAGGCGCCCTGCGATATCTGCTCAATTGTCGAGACTTTTGCTCAAGCGCATTTGCTCCCCAGTCGAACTTCTGTTCTGCTACCCAGGCATCGTCGCCCTAGTCTCATCGCCGCCCAGTCACTGGCCACGCTACGCCTGGTAGGAAATTACCCAATCCGCTCTAGCCCTATCATCTCAAAGCGGTAATTCGCAACAGTATCTCTTGGCAATCCCACACACAACACACACAACGCCAACAAAATGCGCAGAAGAAGTCCTCGTTCTGTTCTCGTTCCTCTCCCCCCCTCGTTCTAGCTCTGCACCTCATCCCAGCCTGCCCCCCTTCCTGTCCTGTCCGAATCTTTTTGTGCCCCGTCAACACCATCCTCATTATTGTCATCGCAACCACTTAAGCACTAATGAACGAAATAAGTGATGCGGGCAAGGAGCCCCAAGATAGAGCGGATGCCGAATTGAAGGAAACCATGCAAGCAAACTTGACCACAACCACACCAGCAAACTTGCCCACAGCCACACCACCATCATCGCAGGTCCATCCAGCCCTTCCCGCTCCCACGCACTCCCAGCCTCAAGCGCCGCTCGAAGAACACAAACCTCAACCTCAACCCACCAACATGTCCGGCCCCACCAGCCCCATCCCCACCCGCCCAATCCTCCCTCTCCCCCACCCCCACCCACCTTTCCACCACCTCGTCAATAAATTACACAACCACACTACAAACTTACACACCCGGACTCTTGTTGCCATCAAGCGCAACTACCTCACGCTCAACCCCACTTCCGACCCCACTGAGGACTCGGCAGCGCAGCTCTTGGTCAGGAAGCGGTTCCTCAAGGACGTTGCGGATGATGTTTTGGCGGTAGTGGGGCTACTGGAGGGAGTTTTAGGGGAGAATCACAGTGTGGAAGTGGGGAAGGATGCTCTGACATTGAAAAAGTTGCGCGCAAATACTCAACCAACAACCCTCACCAACAGCAGCAGCAGCAGCAGCACCAGCAGCCGTAGTACGAGCGACGAGGAGGCAGACGACCCGTTTGTCCTGGAAAAGGAACTGGACTCGCTACTACACTCCCCTACTACTATTGCCAATAGTAGCGACGACGACGA